GAGTCAATTCGACTCCTTTGGAGACAAGATGACTTCTATATATTGGAGTGAAGAAAAGTCCTTAACTAACTTTAGAAATCAATAAAGACATTTTTCGAGTCAAAATAATTTATTATCCCTACAAGTAAGGAGGTATATTATAGCAGGAAATACAATTTGCTGTAGCATAATATAATGATATACTCTTATACCCTATAATATTTTTGAATGAAGTTCTAAAATGAAATTTTGATTAGAATGATATCATGAATACATGTGGAATACAATTACAAGCCTGCCAGCATGAATTGAACCTGCAGCCCTGCAATTCTACCACAGCCCTCTGACCTAAAGAGCCCTTTTGCCAAGAGATAACCACAAGTTGCTGTATATATAAAATGGTGGTGTCATTGGTAGTGTATTATATAAACTGCCCAGGATGACACTGGTATTATATACATGAACTCTTGGTTACAGTAGAGCTTGATTGACTCTTGGCACATTAATTATATATTGTAATAATTTACTCCAGATTCAGAACAATTTTACTCTTTTTTGGGAGTTGAAACGACCCCTGGAGTAAAATTAAGGAGTACAAATTACTCCATAATTTCTACTCCTAAAAGCGAGTTTAGTTTAATCCTCCAGTGGAGTTAAATTGACTCCTGATGGAGTAAATTGTTGAATGCGTGCCGAAGTGGAGTAGTTTTAGCTCAATTTTGGGAGTAGATTTTACTCCACAATTGTTACTCTCCCGAGTTGAGTAGTTTTAACTCCTATGGTGGAGTTAAAATAACTCCTTGAAATTAACAGTGTATATATGTACTATTTAAAGCACGCGTATACTCCTATAGGAGTGTTTTATCACATATAAAACACGACGCGTAGCGGAGTGTTTTATATGTGATAAAACACGACTACTAGTGCTTTAAATGGCTTAAAAACCGACTCATCTTATACGAGTTCATTGGCGAAGTAATTTTTAAAATAAACTTTGTCTAAACCGAGAAAATCAAAGCTAAAGTTTATGTAAATTAACATGATTTTATATCACATATAAAACCACGACACGCTTATCATTTTTCTTTGTGTTTTGCTCCTGAATTATTAATGAGTTTTTTAAATATATATATATATATATATATATATATATATATATATATATATATATATATATATATATATATATATATATATATATAAAATACAAAAAATGCAAACGAAAAAAGAAAACAACAGAAATATACGGACTTATGCACAAATGTCAAAATATCATGATTGACTGTATCGAAAGCTTTAGAAAGATCGAGAAATATACCCACAGTATATTTTCTTTCGTCAATTGCCGAAGTTATTTTATCAATTAAATCAAGCAATGCCAGAGAGGTTGAATGCATGGTTCTTCCGAAAGCCATATTGGTTTTTAAATAATATATTGTTAGAATCAAGATAATGAATAAGTCTATTGTATACAACCTTTTCCAATAATTTAGAAAAGACTGGTAAAACAGAAACAGGTCTATAATTGGTAATTATTCCATCCTCACCTGATTTGAATAGTGAAATCACTCGAGCGATTTTTAATTGATCTGGAACAATACCAGATTGTAAAGATAAATTGATAATATGAGTTAACGGCTTTGAAATTACATCTATGACTTCTTTAACAGACCAAGTAGAAATCCCATCATAACCAGCAGCTGTTTTTGGACGTAGCAAATTAACAATTGCAATCACTTCTGTCTCCGTTGCAGGTTCAAAAAATATTGAGTTCATAAAATTTCCAGATAAATACTTTGATGAGACCGTGAAGAAACAGTTATTTTGTTTGCAAGATTAGGACCAATATTTGTAAAATAATCACAAAAAGTGCATGGTTTGCAAATTCCACTGGGTTAGAAACATTTTGGTTGTTAATTGTAAAAGAATGCGGAGGCTTTTTGGATGATTTTTGCGATTTACAACTTCATTTAGAATTTTCCAAGTGTCTTTCATGTTAGTTTTTGCATTTTCAATTTTTTCTTCATAATAAATTTTTTTGCATTTCTCAATAAATTTGTTAACTTATTTTTATATCTTTTATATTTTTTCAGTACAAGGATTTCAGTACAATTTCTTATACAGATTATTTTTCGATTAATAGATTTAAGAAGGCCATTAGAGACACAAGGTTTTCTTGATATAAATTGCAATCGGGGTCTAAATCATTTGAAAGAGCCAAAAGTCTGCTATAACCTGGCAAAAATGGATTAAACGATAAGCTTGAAAGCCTATTAGCATCGAAACTAATAGGGCCATTCGATAGTTCGTATAACATTAGACTAAATTCATCGTCATCAAGACAATGAAAAGGTAAAGCACCACAATAACAATTGAATGTTAAGATTTAACAACACACAAACACAACGTATCTTAATTAACTTATCTCAGTGACGTTCATGAGAGAGGTCTCCTGCAAAGGTATACTGAACTCTTCCATTGAACTGAAGGAGTGCACCGGACCGGCTTCATCTTTGCGTAACAGCACTTCGCCGTTCTTCGTCCGTACAAATTTGTAGTGCCGGGTAATCTCGACGGGAAGATTTGGCTTTGATCAACAACTCACGAGATTTACGGGTCAGGCTTTCGTTAACAAAAAGCCTCGTGTTACTGTAGAAACCCAAAACTTGGGCGGTCTTATTGCGAAGTGCTCGCTTACACTTGAGCAGCCTGTCCTTTATACTTCTCCGAACAAACTTGACAATAATAACTGGAATACGGCCCAAAACGGCAGGAAGGCGATGACTAATTGAGATGTCGATTTCATAAAGAGTAAGATCAGGGACTATTAACTTTGCAACCTTCAAAACGATTTCATCCGTTTTCTCATCTTCAGACACGGGCACGCCATGAAATTCTAATAAATCTCTACGCAAATATGACTGTAGATCGTCACTACCTCTATATCGGTTACTTTACGTTCAAGTTCGTTAATATACGAGTGACTAATTCTGTATTCTTGCTTCGAAGGTCGTTATTTTCACGCTTGAGATCTTCGACTGATGTCGCAATGTCGTCAAATTTATCGCTAAGAAAATCTTGACTCTTTTTAATCTCAGTGGTATCTGACTTCGACATATTAGAATATTTTAAGAGAAGTGAGTTAATTTTCTCAGATTGCTGATTCAAACGCTGGTCAAGGAAATGTTCTAGCTCGGAACTCACACCAGCTGGCTCCATGTTGGCTTTCTCACTTTCATTAGTCGAAGATTCAGCACTTGAATTATCCTTCTATTTACTTTTTGGTGCATGCATAATAGACAAATAATATATATCTTAGAGATATAAATGTAATATACAAGGTAATCTTCAAATCAAATAACTATTTAAATAATCTTAAAGAGTGAAATTCGCGGCGCCACTAAAGCACGTCTGCACTCGAGGAGAACTTGCACAAGTTAAATGAAATTAATGAGCGAAATTAATTAAACCTTGATTCTTGACAGCCCCAACCAGAAAATTTCAGGAAATTCATCAAGGCGATGAAGTTATAGTTGCCTATTTCAGCCGTTTTCGTGCTCGACAAATAATATTACTGGAATTACATTCAACAAGGTTGGGTTACAGAATAATTAGAAAACTGCTAATACATCATCTTGAATTAAATTATTCTTCATTTTTTGTCAATATCTTTTAAAAAAGTGATTTTCACTGGTGGGGGGAAAATATTAGGTAACTGGGGGACTAACATGGGGGCTGAGGCCCCCTTTCTACAGGGTGTATCAAAAAAAGTAAGACAATTTTGAAATTGCTCTCAATTCCACAATTCTGTTCATGAAATGTAATTTTTGCTATATATGGATTGCTCGAGTTCTTAAATTATGGAAAATATAAAAAATGTTGAAAATAGTAAATTTTGCTATCCAGGGGGGTGGTCAACTTTTGCTCCCCTAAAACTGGCTTGCGCACTGAAATGACAAACGGTATTCTTTATTTGAGTTCATGTATGAAAAGTTCGCTATTTGTTGCATTTATGATAAAATTTCGGCAGGATTTTACCGAGTACAAATCCTCCGAAAAGCCTATGAAAACGTTACATTTTTCTCTGTTGGTGCTGTTCTTGCTTCATTATGAATTCATTTTTACTCCCATGAGAGTTCCATGGAATTTCCTTGGAATTTGTGCTTTCGAGTTGTTTGTGCTGAAACGCATTTACTCGTATAATAATAACCCGTACACTTTGAAATGGCGATGCCACAATTTACCCTGCAGCAGAGAGCTTTTTTGGTATCAGAGTTCCTCCGTAGCAACAACATAAACTTGGTTCGCCAAAGTTTCAAGAATATCCAGATGTACGATGCCCTTCACGTGCGAATACGTGAAGGGCATCGTACACAAGTCTGGATATTCGTTCGTGAAACTTTGGCGAACCAAGTTTATGTTGTTGCTACGGAGGAACTCTGATACCATGCATAAAAGCTCTCTGCTGCGGGGTAAATTGTGGCATCGCCATTTCAAAGTGTACGGGGTATTATACGAGAGAATGCGTTTCAGCACAAATAACTTGAAAGCACAAATTCCATGGAAATTCCACGGAACTCTCATGGGAGTAAAAATGAATTCATAATGAAGCAAGAACAGCACCAACAGAGAAAAATGTAACGTTTTCATAGGCTTTTCGGAGGATTTGTACTCGGTAAAATCCTGCCGAAATTTTATCATAAATGCAACAAATAGCGAACTTTTCATGCATGAACTCAAATAAAGAATACCGTTTGTCATTTCCGTGCGCAAGCCACTTTTAGGGGAGCAAAAGTTGACCACCCCCCTGGATAGCAAAATTTACTATTTTCAATTTTTTTTATATTTTCCATAATTTAAGAACTCAAGCAATCCATACATATAAAAAAATACATTTCATGAACAGAATTGTGGAATTGAGAGCAATTTCAAAATTGTCTTACTTTTTTTGATACACCCTGTATATGTTAAAAAAGCCTGAAACAGAGCCAGCCCCGTTCAATGTATAATGTAAACAATAGATAATACTAATGCAAAAGCTGAAAATGCAAAAGTTGAAAATGCAAAAGTTGAAAATGCAAAAGTTGAAAATGCAAAAGTTGAAAATGTAAAAGTTGAAAATGCAAAAGTTGAAAATGCAAAAGTTGAAAATGCAAAAGTTGAAAATGTAAAAGTTGAAAATGCAAAAGTTGAAAATGTAAAAGTTGAAAATGCGAAAGTTGAAAATGTAAAAGTTGAAAATGCAAAAGTTGAAAATGCAAATGTTGGAAGTGCCATAACTACGGGGGCAGCTGCCTGGGCAGAAGGGTGCGGGAGGGGCAGCATGTTGCATTTTTTACAAGAACTACAATCGTAAATTCGTGCGTTATTCAAATGTAGAGTTCGAGAACTGTTTTCGCTAAGCCCAAGTTAGCTCAAATTTAAATCCGAAATTCTTCTCAGAAACGTTAAAGAGGTTTTAATTACAACTTTATAAGAAAAATTGTCAAAACGAAAGCCTACTTAAATAATGAACAAGATGTAATGTTGTTTTACTCTTTACCGCCATGCTACGCATGCAAATCAGTATAATTTTTCCAATCAATTCCGAAATTTAATTAAAAATTGCTACCAGTAATCAAGTATCCATTCAGCAAAATTGATAACAAACATTGCCGCGCACAGTAAGGCCCAGAAATAAGTGCCCTTTGTCAATAGCCGCATACGTTGCTAAGCTACAACTGTTTTTATAATGGTATATTCCCATTCCTATTTTTGTGTCTGTCATTCCCACTCCCATTAACCCAAACATATGCAAATCTTATATTTTAGCCCATTCAGGGCCTCTAAGAAAGTCTTTTACTTTGTTGTATTTCGAGAGTACGTGCAGTGTCTACATAGCCTGTGCAAGTTTTCTCTAGCTTCCATAGGTGCTTCAATTGAATGATAATCCGGAAGAGAGCTAAATCCTACTGACTCCTTTCAATAGTCCAACTTGGATGCAAGGACTAAGCATTCTTAGGGTTTCCAGGACGTCAAGAGGGAAGCGAGCACTTTTTAATTGATATGTATTCCGGAAGATTGCAAAACATCTGTAGGGTGTATAAGGATTTTATCGAATTGCAAATGTGAAACGTTCGCACTTCGATCCTCTTTAGTGCTCTCTCAAATTGTCCATGCATGCACGCAGTGGCTTTGACCGATATTAATTTCAATCTCTCTTTTTAAATCGGTTTGTGCTAGTTCTTTCAACATGCCTTCCTGTTGTACAGCTGGCAGTATAGTTTGTCGTTGCTTTACTCGATGTACTTTGCCAAATTATCGCATTGGGCCAGATCAACACGACGATCTTTCCTCTTTCACCTCTTAATCTACTCATATATATCCTATCTTATATCTACTTGTTGATGCAATGTGCTATACACTGTGAGCAACTTCCGGATCTCTTGCATTGAGCATTTACAACATTTCCTCCTGAGAGTTTGGATTTCAGGATTTTTCTCACTCCTTTATAATATTCAGTCTTTATATTATCTTTCATTTAATCATGCTTTATTACATGCATATGTTTCCAGTATACCCATTCAATATCAATACTTTCAGACATTTTAGAATCTTGACGAGTGTGTGTTTCTAAATTGGTATTTCTTCTGATACCATTTCTTATTACAGTTTTATCAATAAGCAGTCCTTTGTTCCCTTGGATTTTTTCTTGCAGCCGTTCTGTTCTGGTGGTAACAGATTTAAGGTGGCTCCCTACAGTTTTCTAAAATTTTAAGTATTTTAGGTAACCTTCGTTTTCAACCAAATTTATATTGAACACACTTAGACAGGGCAATATAATCATTTCCAGGAAAGTTCAGAAGTCTTCTGCTGTCGATGTATCAACAAATATGAACAGTGTTAGTGTTGCCATGGCAACCATGGCGTTTCATCTTTTGCACTTTTATTGTCTAATTTTACAATCAAACGGCAATATCTTCTATTTTTCTTCTGTCAATTTTTCTGAATTTTTTTTTAAGATTGATGGTTGAAAGAGGATTGACATATTAAAATTTGAAGGGATGTTTATAAGGCAGGTTTTGAGATATTCATGAATAACGACTACAAAAAATCTGTCTTATAGAATTTCTTGAAATTTTGATATGTTTGGCGAATCGTCATGCTTAGCAAACGTGCAAAGTATAAAAAATTTTACTGAAGGAAACGCGAGAAAAATGGTTCTAAATCCGGTTGAAGCTGTTGACGTGACAAAATATCGATTCGACATGATCACTATTTGCTCATGCGTGTAAATTATAATGCGTGAGGAACACGAAACGCGTACGGTTTATAGTTGGCTTTTTTAGCAATTTTCATTTTGAGTTTTTGGCTTATATATGTATCACACAGATATTTTTTACTTATTTGAAATGAAAATAAAAGATATATAATTTATGTTCAAAATACGAAATATTGAGAACACAATAACGCACTGACTTAATCCAACGTTTCTGAAATTTAGTTTTGTTGTGAAAATCGGTGTAAAAACTTTTCAAAACACTCAAGTAGAGTTTGACTTTTCGTATAAAACAACTCTTAACTGTCTGCATTATAGTTTTTTAGGATTCAGCAGATAAAAAACTACATGTGAACTGAGTTGATCCTGTCAGATTTACGTACGTTTCAGTGACAGTTCTGGAGTGCCTTGAAGACAGTATAAAATATCATTTCAGTTCGTGACACTGTTGTTGAACATTGTGAGCATTATGCAATACAGTACTGAACGTATTAAATATATAAAAAACACACTGAAGGTATAGGTTAAAAAACTAGCTAACAACATACGTACTGTTTGAATGTTGAAAAGTTTAGGATTATCATAAAAAACTGGCGTTTTCTTTGTAGATAAAAATACAAAAACAACTTCCCGCGGCTTGTTTCAAGAATTTTAACGGGCCACTAATATTCCACGCGCGAGTCGTGAGGATGACATCTGAGCTATATAAATGTTTTAAACTGGACTATAACTGTATGGAGCCACCTTAATCTCTCAAAATGCTCGTATATTTCGTTAGAGATTACCCTCTGCAGGACCATAAGACAAGTAAGGGTACCTGATGGGTGCGGCACACTTCCTCCCCAAAGATTCTGGATTTCCATGAATATTCTGGATTCCATGAATATTGCAAAATTTATATATCTATTTGGAAATAAAAATGTCTCGCATCGACTCGGAAACGAATCGAATTTTCCCGTATCATCGAAGTAATGAGTTTGTATCCAGAAAATTGAATCCTATATTCAGGTTCTTTTCAGTTCGATGTTTTCATATCGGTTTTGAGGCTTTTGCTGTTTTATGTTCGTAACTCTTCTTATACCATGCATTTGCATGGAGACTCTTCACCCTTTTTCTGTATTTTATACTAACTAATTCTAATGCAACTCTAACACTAATTTCGATTTGTTAATATAGCCTTCCGTTTTATCTGATTTCGTTAATTTGTATTTCTAGCCCTTATTTCGACAGCGGTTATTTATTTTCGTAACCTAGCTCTTTCTCCTGCTTTTAATGCAAAATGATCTTCCAACAACAACTGTAGCAGTGCTGCTCTTATTAGATTGTTTGTTTCTGTAATATTAAATGTTCGGATATATAGTCCAAGGCTTTGTCTATCTCCTGAGTCTTAAGCTTTACTTTTCGGCGGTTCATTCTATGCAAGGTGTATATGGTTTCAAGCTTCTCTGTTCCATTTCTTTCAATCACTATTTCCAGTGCCAGATTGATGTAACTGTCACCCGATGCATCCATCCATTCTTAATTCAACGTTAACCGATTCTGCAACACTGATGCCGTTACAGGTCTGTTGTTCATTTGATAAGTTGTTTTCTCATTAAGTTGTGTGCTTTTTTGTGGCATGGTTTCGGCTGTACATGTATGATCTTCCGTCTCATCATTGCCCTGTTCAATTTTTCTTTTTAACTCTTCTATTTCGTGATTGGAGAGGCAGTTGTTAACTTTAAGAGGCAGTCCGTGTAAAAACCGACCACTCGAATTTCTTGAAATTGTAGTCAGTTTTAAAAATTTTTTCGCAATTATTTTCGGACGCGTTCGAAAACAAGTTAAAACGTTAATTACGCAAGTGATATTTGAGCTTTTTTATATCTCACGGTTCATCTCGCGCTTTTATTCTAACTTCTTGAAACTTACATATTTTATTATTTCCTGCCTAGGCATAAACCTAAACTAAAAATTATCCTGATCACTTGAAGCAAACAAAATATTGTGTATTTTTAAAAACGTCTTTCAGACAGCGGATTGAATATTCGTGTTAGTATGCTGGCGGTAAATTATTTTTTCTCAAAAGTGCAACGGTATCAGGTATCCAATCTATGGCAGCTACTGAGTATTATGACACATCTACTAGAATAAAGAATAAAATCTTTGGGCAGTGTGTTTTTCGCCTGACAAGCGCGTCATGAATATAGTCAATTTTTGCTAATTCCTTTAATTATAAGCTATAATTTATTTTTGTATTTACTTAAATTTTTCGCGTTAAAAACATACAAAACTGTTTACTGTTTCAAATATGGCTGTTTTTTGGATAGAGAGTAAGTTATAAATATGCCAGCAATTATATAGGCCTATGCTTGAAATTTTACGTTTATGGGTATCATTAAAAACTACATGCATGGTATATATAAACAAAAATGTACAAGAAAAGTGCGAGAAAGGATATACAGTATGTGTGCCAATTTATAGGAATACCTTGAAGGAGCACTTTTTTCTCATACATGTTTAATATTTTCATGGTTTTTAAGAACTGCAATTGACCATTTGTGTAATAGACTAAATTTTGATCTAAACAAGTCTAGACAAAAATTTCATCACAGCTTGAAAGAGCATCACAAGATTAGTAATATTCCAAAGTTTCGTTGCGAAATGTTGTAAAATGCGGAAAATATAGCCTTGCGAAGTTTGCAATTTTCAGTCATTTTAGATTACAAACGGGAAATTGGATCTCTGTAAAGAACGGAAACCGAAACGACTGAATCCGGAAACGACCGAAACCGGAAACGACGGAAACTGGAAATTCCCGCATAATTTCCTGCATAAAATTGCCTAAAATTTAGCCTGCTGGCAGGCTCATTGGTAGAAAGGTGAGCCTGCACTGACAAATTGACGCAGGGCGTGAAATGTACAACGACGAAATGTATAAAACAAGTGTGTAAACTCCAAAGATCGATAACATTTTTATATTTATCAACGTTTCGACTATATTTCAATCATCGTCAGGATAAAGA